CTTGCATGCTTATTACCTTATTACCCTATTACCTTATTGCTTGCTTATGTGTGCTTATTCCCTTGCATGCTTATTACCTTATTACCCTATTACCTTATTGCTTGCTTATGTGTGCTTATTCCCTTGCATGCTTATTCCCTTGCATGCTTATTACCTTGTTACCTTACTGCTTGCTTATGTGTGCTTATTCCCTTGCATGCTTATTACCTTATTACCCTATTACCTTATTGCTTGCTTATGTGTGCTTGTTCCCTTGCATGCTTATTACCTTATTACCTTGTTACCTTATTGCTTGCTTATGTGTGCTTGTTCCCTTGCATGCTTATTACCTTATTACCTTGTTGCTGGTCTATGCCATGTGCTTAATTCACCAGGAATATAACATGTGCATTGCATACATTTTGCAATTATGATAAACCTCAGAACCGTTTTTACCTGTCCAACCTGCCCATGCAACTTGAACACTTATTACGCAATTACGAGTAATAAGACAAAAAAACGCAATATACCGGTCTTATAGTGGGCATGGTATAATGTAAAGTTATTACTTGGTAATTGATAGGTGTAATTTGATGATGTATATGAATTTATCACAGGGTCGGATTTGACCATACTGCCATATTACAAATTTAGAATTGGTAACAAGACTTGTGATTTTGTGTTGTGTAATTTTCCTGTATCTCATTTGAATAAATGGTTTTCTTAAATTTATCTTAACAGGATCTGGAAAGTAGACCATGCATTGAGATATTGTAAATTTAGTTCTTGTTTTACACTGTGTACTGTTTCCGTAATCTGTCCATCACATGTAGTTAAGTCTATGTGAGGATTGTAGGTTTATTCATTAGTATTTAAGTATACATGTCGTTAGATTATGTACATACTCACAGGGTCTTGAAAGCAAACCATGCCGTGAAATATGTAATGAAGCCTATGGTTTGTGTCATGTATCTAGCTATTGATAGGTAGAATAGGTAGACGTTGTACAATCTACCAAAATTGTGGTTTATAGAATCAGGCAGAACATTTAGTTCTGCCACAAGGGTAAACCTAATTAGATTCCCTGGACTAATCATCAGATGTTTTACAAAACACAAAAAACGTGGTGCCCAGGGTCTGGCAAAAAGTTTTTGACTGCATGCTTGGAAAAATAGCCAAAATTGTAGTATATGTCAACAAGAAGTTCCTCTATATTAAAATCTTTTAGGCAACCTTCAAACATTTTAACTGCATGCCGTGCAGTGTTGTGGGCCATGTGACAGGGACAACCTACTAAAATTATGTCACAACCTTGTGTTGATTAATGTCATAAAGTCTGAGTCCCTCATCATTACTACCATCAGTGCTTATACTGAAATAGGTATTTTTATGTGTTCTAATAAACTCGATTGTAGGTCAGGTTTGATTGCCCAATTCAAAATGCAAGTTGTGATAATCATGCCAAATGTGTGACACTTGACAGGTCTGCTACCTGATGATGGCCCTCAGAAAGATATAAGGACTTGCCACTTTCGTGAACTTGTCAGTATAAAGGAAGAAAACTTGAAGGAGATTCAAAATCGGTACAGGATATTGGTAGCTAGAATCCTAATCAAGACGTTTCCAGAGATTTGACGCCTTAAATCCTACCTATCTGAGGAACTTCTCCATCATGAGAATTCTGTTACAGCGTCTTCTAAATCAGAAATTATCACCATGCCAGTATTAATGAAGGATGAGAAGAAATACACCAATTGTGTTGATGTGTTGGATTAGACAAGGCAAGTGGTATGTGCAAAGATCAGCCAGACCAACCCTCTGTTTCCCCACCCTTGGTAGAAGTTTCTGGTGCATAATATAAAACATCCACTAACATTTATAGCTCAGTTGGCTCTCACCATAAGAGAGGCCTGGACACCAAGCTTTGTTATAGTTTCTCATCATTCTCAAGAACTTATTAAAGCATATACTAGAATTATAAATTGTAAGTGAAATGCTGCAAGTAAATACTGGAAGTGCCTGTGTCTTCCCCAGTCGTCTC